AAAAAGAACCATCTTTTGATTTGTCACGGCTTTGATCACGACTATGAGGAGTCTTACTCCCCCCCTTGTTTTGCTTCGGCCTCTCACAATAAATGTTTCCGAATGAGAGGAACCCGCTGATTTTCTTCTAGTTTCTTCATTCAACAAGCTCCTAGTGGCTTGGCCCATTGTGACAACTCCATCAGGTGCCGAATTACTAACCGTCACAACCAAAGTCTCCCAACTTTCAAGCAAAGAACTAAGCAGCATCAAAGCTTGTAACTCATCATCAAAAAAAAATTTCATAGAAGCAAGTTGGTTAACAATACTCTTTATTTCATTCAAATGTTTCGGAATAGGGCTGCCCTCTTTATATTTTAAATTAACCAACTTACGAAACAGAAAAGCTTTATTTGTGGTTGATTTCCTATCATAAAGGCTTCTAATTTTTTTCATAATTCATGTGCTGAAGTTTCAGTAGCAACATGATGAAACACATTGTCATCTATCCATTGACAGATAATACCAACGGCTTTTCGATTAAGCCTTGTCCATTCATCATCTTGCATACCCTCGGGTTTGCCACTGTCACCCTCAATAGGCCCATACAAATCGTTACAAAATAATAGGTCCTCCATTTTAGTTTTCCAAGTTACCTAATTGCTTCTATTGAAACTAGACATGTGACCCACATTTCCTTCCATTGATTTACACAAATAAATAAACCCAAATAAACTGTAAGCTCTAATACCAGTTGTTAGGAAAAATATAAGATTTTTTACAAGTAAATCAATCAATGGGAATAAAAACTAATGCGAAAAAATTAAATCAAAAGCAACACAAGAATTTTACGTGGTTCCCTCAATATGAGATACGTCCACGGGATTGAAATCCGATTCCACTATCAACCAAAAAGTTTTCAAACGATTACAAACGAGACACGCATGGTCTCACAAACCACCCTTAGGTGAATTCCAAATAATCACAAATAAACAAGAGGAAAGACTTCACCAAATAGATAAACCAAAGTCTTCAAAAACAGAGTTGAAGAAGATCTAAAATAACGAACCATACTATGCTTCAAAGCAGCCACAAACTGAATCAAAAAAGCTTCACCGAATTAATTTTGATCGAAACGACACTCGCATAGCAAGAACAAAACCCACCAAATTTGATTATGTCCCAAGCATTATCTCACCGACAATTGATTAAAAGATAGTTGTTGACGGCTGCTTTTTTTTTTTCCTTTTGAAAAATGCAAAACAATCCCAATATATATTATGAATCCTTAGGCTTTTTATCAAAAAAACCCTAGTTGTATTCAAACTGAATTGGGTCTCCACAAATTAGATATAATGTATAAAAATATATTATAATTAATATCAAACCACATTAAACTCTTTTAATAAACTAATTGGATCCCACACTCCAATAAGGAGGTATATCCAACAATCAACACCCATAGGAACTAGGGGTAAAAGATCACTCAAAATAGATAAACCCAAGCTTGAAAGATTAAATGGGTCGGAAATGGGAGAGAAGTCAGAGAAGTGATTCGAAAAAGTGACTTTTTGAACACACAAACAGCTTATATACACGACACATTGCGAGCACGATGAAACAGATCGCGGGCTCGATGAACTAACATAACAAGTCGTGGGCACAACCAAGCCAAGACAGAAAACCCGGGCTGCTACTCTGTAGCCAACCCAAAGCACACCAAAGGTCCAAACTACCTAGACAAGGTCAAAGTCAATTGGGATGGCCACGTGTGGCAACCAAAAATAAAATAGGTCGGATTTTCTAACCCAAGCCTCTACAGATGACATAACTTGCATGTGATATATGCTCCAAATAAAATTGTGTATTGTAAAACAACACAATATTATTATTTTATTTAGACACATCAAATTAATATAAATGTTTTTTTTCTTTCTAAGCATTGACCGGGACTGGAGTCACCAAGTCAAACCTATTAGGCTCCTCATTATTGATCATTTTAATTTTGATGTAATTTCATGTAAAATTTTATAAATATTCCTTTGTTTTACTCATTTTGAACGGTGTTCACATAAAGAATTACAGTGGAACCAATCACTTACTTTGAGAATTGAAATAGAACAATTTAAATATTAGAGCTTAGAATGTAACGTAATGTACGTTTTGAGGACCATCAGTGTAATTACCCTTTTAAAAAAAAAAATTACAATGTATCTCAATACACTGATGTAGTTTAATCAACAATTATAGCATAGATAACTACAAATAAACTCCTGAAGAAAGAGAGAGCCACCCCAAACGACTACAAGGGTAACCTCTTAGTACAGTTTAAGAGCTCTAGCCAATGGATTAGTTTTTAAATGCTAATAGAAGGACAAACGTTGCAAAATTTTAAGGAAGATGGATAGCTGCTATGCATAAAGCATAATAGTCATTGTTGTGCGGCTAATTGGGCTCACTTTGGGCCTTATTTTGATAATTCAAATCATTCAATTTTAGGGTGTATCGAGTAGAATATACTTCAAAAAATTTAAATTAATCGGATATCAATAGCCCTTTTATCTAAGTACATTTGTATTCAGTTTTATACAAAAAATCACATTAACCATTCATTTTTTAAAATACAAATGTAATTAGATGAAAAGGTTATCAAAGTCTGATCATTTTGATTTTGTACAGATATATTCTATTTGATATACGCTAAAATATGAATTATCGAAATAGGACCCATAATGGACTCCATTGACTGCACAACAGTGACCCTGTGCATAAAGCACAACAATCACCCCAAATTCAAATTTAAACACTATGGCTAGTTAAATTCTATTTTGTTTTATTTTCAATCTAGTAAATTGTATACTTTTTTATTTTTATTTTAATGCACTTTGTTTGTATATTTGAATGTAATGAACTAGCAAGTAATTTGTTCTCCCTTTCTCTAAATCAGACTACAAGAAGTAGTTTGTTCTATCCTTATTTTTTTTATAAACCAAAGTGTAAGCAAGTAATTTATTCTCTTCTTTTCGGTCATTTCATATTGATATACTTTGGTACTACATATAAAAACTGATTGGCCTACAACTGATCGGTCCGGTCATCACAGTCAAGCACCCGGCTGACTCATGTCCCAGGCCACTCAAACAATGGCTTTAGTCCCCATGTTGGATGAGTCTCCAAAATTTTCTTTGTCCAAAAGCCTAATAATTATAAAAAAAAAAAAAAAAAAAAAAGAGGTCATTTTTTTAAAGATCTAACAAAAAAATACTTCCCTTATCCAAAAGACTAAAAGGATCCGTTTGATTTGATTTTGAAATCAATTATCAAAAATAATTTTTTTAAAAGTGTTTTCAAAATTTAAAAATTTGTTTGGTTATATATAAATAGTTTTGTAGTTGGAGTTCTATAATTTGAGATGATTTGTAATTTTTTTTGTAGATGAATAAATGGGTGCAAAAGCAAAAATGATTAATTGATGTTTAGGATGTGTGTGTGTGTGTGTGTGTGTGTGTGTGTGTGTGTGTGTGAGAGAGAGAGAGAGAGAGAGAGAGAGAGAGAGAGAGAATGATTAATTGATATGTAGGATGTGAGAGAAGGAGAGAGGAGATAGAAAAATTGATTAAAAACAATTTTGAAAAAATTATAAAATCAAACAAATTTTTAGTTTTGAGCTCTCAAAAATTGATTTGAAAGTGAAACAAGCCCTATTTTTATCAAGTCCCAGCCAAATAATCTCTGTCCAAAGGTCTTCAATTGTAAAAATTGAGAAAAATCTTCTTTATCAAGAGGCCCAAAAAAGAATTTTATTTTTTAAGTAATGATACATAATAAAAATAAAAACTAAAAATTAAAAACAAACCTCAATATCTGAAGGATTAATAAATAAAAACTTCATATTCAAAGCTCAACAAAAAAAAAACCATTATCCAAAAGTGCTCCCAATATTAACACTTAGAATTTTAATTACAAGAAGGGCAAATTGCGACAGTAATCTCTGTACTTTGGTCTTTGTGTCATTTTGATTATTATAATTTCAATTGATTTGATTTTGATTATGAATTTATGATTTTGCTTTAATTTTTATGAAAAATATGCATATTTGGCAAGTTGGTTTAAAGCCAACGTTTTAACTTTTTTAGATCACATCACCTCTATATTTTTTTATACATTTTTTCAAAAAAAAAAAATCAAAAAACTGAAAATCTAACTTTTAACCTACTACTCAGAAAGCTAACTTTTGATTAATTCCACCAAGTCCCCGCTAATTCCAAAAAGTTGGCTTTTGATTAATTCCACCAAGTCCTCGTTATTTGTTATTTTGATTTTGTTGAGTTCATGTAATTTTTTTAAAATACTTTTTTTGTGTTATTGATTTTGAATGACATTAAGGTAGGGATTAAAATTTAACAAATCACATACTTTGAGAACAAAAAAGGAACAATTAAAAATTAGGACAAAAATATAGTGTAATATCCTTTGAAGCTCATTAGTGTAGTTAACCCTTTTTAAATTATATTTTTTCTCAAAACATTAAAGTAGTTTGAATTAACAATAATAACATAAAAAACTACAAATAAACTCCCAAAGAAGGAAAAAGATACCCGAAATGACTACAAGGTGAATACGACCCTTATGCAAGTAGAAGGTATCCAACTCTTGACCTCTTAATATGGTGCAAGAGCTCCAGTTAATGGGCTAAATTCCGTTTTAAGTGTAGGACAAATGTTGCCAAATTTTAAACACCATATGGCTGGTTAAATTAACTTTTGTTTTCTAAACTAGATTGCAAGCTAGTAAATTGTTTTATTTTTATTTTTCTTTTTTGTCGGCACTCTCTAGTGTTCTTGTCCTAAACAAGAAAAGAATCTTCATCAAAAGTAATAGTGCAATTGCTATCTACTGCCAACTGATGGACTGAAAGCAAGTTGGATGAAAGAGTAGGTATATGAAGCATGTTTGTGAGATGAAATGGAAAAGGAGTAGGAAGAAGCACATTACTAGTGCGAGCAATAGGCAGAGTAGTACCATCACCAATAGCCCCTGATAAGGCTGATAAAAAGAAAGATTGCTGAGATCATTTGTCATATGACTAGTAGCTCCGGAATCAAGAAACCAATTTGAATTAGACTGCTGTTAGCCTGAGTTTGAAGTAGAGGCAACATAGGCTTTAGTATTAGCTGAAGGTGAGACTGAGGTAGGTGAGGGCTGTGATGGCTGAAAAGAGGAATCAAGCTTGTACCCACAATCTAGGGCTGTGAGTTGCAGTTTCCTCTTGGTATTCTTCTTTCTAAGCAAATGCTGCTACCCAGCTCTCCTCATAATCTTCCCACTACCCGTGACTCAAATCGCTTCGCCGAAGCCTAAAAACACCCAAAAAAACAAATCAAATAAGTACCCAATTCCTCAATTACCTACAAAACACACAGAGATAGAGAGAAAGACCTTGTGGGTTTTCATTTTGTAGCCTTTTGCAAAGACGACGGTGAGAGATTGGGGGGTTTGAGTGGGAAAGGTGAGACGAGGAAGGATTGGGGAGAAACCAGATATGGTGTGTGAGGAACTGAGGTTGAGTGAGGTTTTCTTGGTGAATTGTGAGAGGCGAACAATGGTAGGAGAGGTATGAAGACTAGTAGTAGAAGAGCGAGCAATTGGGGGTGAGACTTTGAAAGCAAAAGAGAAGGTTGTTGTTGAGGACGACGCCATTGTTGCTTTCTCTCTGCTATTTCTTGTTTTGGTTGCGAGGGAGGACCTCTTCTAGCTTCTAGTAGTTTGTTTTGTTTACTGGTGTGTGGATAATGAATGATTGTGTTGTGCACTGTGCTATAAAATGGATAAATTTAAGAGGCAAGATTTTTTTTTTTTTTTTTGTTTCACATTATTTTTCTATTTTTTTATCCTTTTTTTTTAATAAAAAAATCTAATAATCAGTTTTAACTTAATTCTTAAAATAAGCCATAGTCACTAAAGATGAGCAGCGGATATATTAATCTGTCCAAATCGATCGAACCGATCCGATCTGCCGCATTTTGGACAGATGCATGATGACAAGCGAACGGTTGCGGATTAATTTTTTTTAATCCGCCTAGTTTTGGATGGATGGCGGATTTGAGGTTTATTTGGCCGCAACCGAACCGCTAAACCGCAAGCACCCGTAGTAATTTATTAAATTTTGTGTTTTCAATTTGTTTAGATTTAGTTTAAATATCCTGTTGAATATATTCTGTTGAAAAATAGTTTTTAACTTAAATATTTTTTTTTGAATTGAAAAAATGAATGTATTATTTATCTATATATATTTTTTTATTTTTAAATCTAACTCTAAAAATAATAAATAAAAATATGATATATGCTAGTTGGTTTTTATTTTCTAAAACAAATATAGAGTAATAATACATAGGCATACAATCTCTATTATTACTCTATTCATGATTTTGGTGGTTTGAATTGTTTTTATATTTTGAGAATCACAGATTGTAATACTTTATGTGGATGATGCATGCTATAATTGTAATATATGGATGAGGCATGCAGTGATTGTAATATTCTAAAGTTTCAAACTTTCTTTCTTTGGATGAGACATGAAATAATTATAATACTTTTTTAAATTATTGATTGTAACACCTTTTTTTTTTATATTTTAGGAAGTGCACAAGTTGAATTTTGTTGAAAATTTATAAAATTTTAAACTGCGAAAACAATTCGCATCTATCCGCCAATCCGCTCAATCCACATTCGCCGAATTGACAGACGGGTGCGGATTGATTTTCTCCAATCCACCAATCTGGCAGATGGATGATGAATTGGAGGTTCCATGACCGCAACCGACCCGCGCCCACCCCTAATAGTCACATAAATAAAAATAAAAATAATAAACCCCTAATAGTCACATAAATAAAAATAAAAATAATAATAATAATAATTTGTCCACTAAAAAATGGTTAATGGTCTTTTTGTCATTTTCAACCTTGTTTTCATTTGAGATAAAATAATTCTAAAATTTATATTATTTTGTAAATATATTGTTAGTATAAGCAGTGTTTTTACGTAGTTTTTTTTTTTTTTTTGGTTTTGATTGAGTTTTGGGTTTTTACTTAGATAACAATATTACATATTTTTTTAAAAATACTCGGAAAATTACTTATATTTTAAGTATAATCATCATTACACTCCAAATCTACCTCATAAATCTTACATTTTGTGGTAACTTTTTAAATAAAATTTCATGATAACTGAATTTTTCCTTGCATATTTGTTTCAATGAATTAAGTTGTGTTTTGCTTGATACACAATTGTAACTTGTTCACTGAAGAGCATACATAGTCGAAGTATTTGTATATATTAGCGTAAAATGATAATACAAGGGGAATGTTTTTTTTTTTAATTTTATATCCACTTAATCTAAGGATATTTATAACATTTCACATTTATTTATTTTTTTTATAAAATTACTTAATAATGAAAAATATGTACATAAAATAAAATTCACCCAATTTGAAAACTAATACAAGGCTGGGTTTTTGAGCTGAGGTTGGTGGGCTTGGTCAATTGAGTTTTGAAAACTTGTTTGTGAAAATCTCAACCAAACAAGTTTTGGGTTCTAAAACATGAGTTTGAAAAAAAAAATTGAAATATACATTGTGAAAATCAAATATGTTTTAGGTTTTAAATTTTGAAAAAGTGATCCAAAAACTCAACCAAACGGCCCCAAGTTTTTTTACTACTTCAATGAAGACGTTTGTGGATTAACTACCAAAATACATGTATATAAACCAAGGGATCGTTTGGCTTTAGCTAAAATAACCAACTTTTGTAGTCTGAAACTTTTTTAGCCTGGTTTTTTAGCCTCATTTGGTTTTTGTTTTGAGACGTTTTTTACTTTTGTGAGGGAAAAAGTGTAACAATTATGGATAAAAAGTGATATTTTATCTTATTTGTGTGAGTTAATTTCCGACCACACTGCCAACTTAGTACTTAACTGGAGAACACCGGCAAAATAGGTTAAGCCCAAACAACCTGCAGCAGAAAGAAGAGATTCTGGCGGTGGCTCGTCCATCCAGGGGCACTCCGACGATCAAGTCAGTAAAATATCTCTCAAAGATAACCAATAATGCTTAACTCACTATTCTGAATATAAATTGTGTACCTTAGATTCACGGGGGTGCCTCTCTTTTATAGTTAACTCAATCCTAGTCCCAATAGAAGCCTAGCTTCAATGGACTTTAGCACAGTGCTTATCTTGGACTCTTCAATAGATAAAGATAAACTCCCTAATAGTTTTATCCTTATCCAAGTTGAAATGCTTTCTCATACTAGGACTCTTGTCCCTTATCCACTTATTCCGGATTCCGATATCTTCGGAGATAACCTCGGCTTATCCGAGATAACCTCGGCATTATGACCAAGACACATGACACCTCGGCTGACACATCGGCGTCATCTTGGCCACGTGTTGATACTCAAGAAATATATCCCCACAACTGCCCCCTAGGTTCTATTACCACGGCATTCTAAGGTGATGGAACCTATATTAGTACTTCCTTCTAGTACGTCGGCTAAGCTCACTTCCTTTTTATTGTCGGAGTAAGAACCCCTTGGCCCAAGACCTATAGTCTGCTTCCATTTAATGTTTCAGAACCATTTACCGGACTTGTTCAAATTTCTCAGCCGAGATCGTTTATTAAGGCCGACATGTCTTCTAAGGAACAAGAATTTCAAAAGCTCCTTTACGCGTATGAGCTGTCATGCATAATAACTCAACTGTTTTAGCCACGCCTCTACCCCTTACTGGATCATACCTGTTATGTGCCTTTAAAGCGAATTTTTCTCGCGTGCGCCGTCTGACGCATACACTTTTTTAGGCACATTAATGGCCTCTTTGCCGCCATTTTTGCATTTTAACAAAACTTCCCTCCTTCCCCCGTCTTTTCACTTTTCTCCACCGTTTCTGAGGCTTTCTCTCTCTAGTTTTTTTCCAAAAAAGATCTGTCATTATTCAAGCTTTCCTTGCTTTGTAACTTGCTGTATTCGTCTTCTCCGTCGTGATTTTCACCATTTTATCGCTTTTGCAACCGTTGTCTGACTTCGGCGACCCTCACATCGGCTTCACTTTTTCTAGTAAGCCATTGTTCCTCCTGGTTTTAATTCTTGTTGCTCTTCAAGAAGTTTCACTTCATTACTTGTTGCCATTGCTGTCTTGCTCAAATATTCGATTTATGAATCATGTATCTGAGTGTTTCTACTTCATGACTTTGCTTTTGCCCATGTCTTGAATACACACACCACTTACAATTTTTTTTGCGCTTTTGCCACTGTTCTTGGCCTTATACCCTTGCACTCATTCTGGCATAGTGTTCTTGATAGTTCATCACTGTTCTTGATTCTGAAACACATTCTTGCTTTTCTGTTTTTTGTGTCTTTTCTAGATTCTTGCCTCCAATCTTCGTTTTCATAGATCTAGGTTTGGGACTTGTTTATAGAACCTTTAAATTCTAAGAAGAATTGAAACGATCCCCACAAATTCTTACGCCTGCTCACTTTTAGGTTTTTGCCGAGGTCCTTATAACTCTTACAAAACATCTTTTTTCTGAAATCCAATTCCCACAATTTAAGCCGACATCATGGGTATGTGGAAGCATGGGGTAGATACTCTAACCAAGTTAGAGCACTTTAGGTGAGAGTTTGACATCCCGGCTAATGTTCACTTGAGGTTGGCTGGAGAGGATGACTCTATTATGCCCATAACTGATTCTATGCCCTTCCCTGTTGTAGCTTTTATCGAGTGCGGACTTCGGCTTCCACTCAATATCCTTTTTCATGAGATAATTCATTACTATAAGTTGAACCCAATGCAGCTTGCCATCAACTCCTACCGAATCATAAATGGTATAATAGCCTTAGCCAAACAGGAAAATGCTAGGGCTACCTTAGCCGACATCCAATATTGCTACACCATGTGTGGCCTTAAAAAAGATACAGGCTATGTTTACTACCTCAAACCGAGGTCTACAAAGTACAAAATTGTTGCCGACCTCCCAGACGCCAACAAGGGAGCTGGGGATAATTACTTCATTACCTCAGGGAATTGGGAGTTCGCTCCAAATAAGAACCTTCACCTCTACCCTCTTCCTCGAACAATCTTTGTTGAGGGTAATGGTAAGAGCCCAGCGTTTGTACTTTATTCATTTTTAAAGTCTTCAATATTTCGTTTATATTAATATCGGTTTTTCTTGCAGTCCTTCATCAGCCACCAAAGGGCTTCCGCTAGTCTTTCTTTCCCAGCAAAGACTTGAAGAAACTATTGGACTTGCCAGTCCACAAACGGAGAGCTCTTTTGGTACTCAACTTCACCTGAACATACAAATCAGTACTTCTCGACGTTCCAAAGAAGAAGAAGAAGGAGAGTCAATCTCCCACTTCTAACACAACTTTTCAAGCTGCCTCTACATCTCGGCAAGATCAAGGATCGACCTCTGATCCAGCAGAGCAACCGTCAACCTCGGCTCCATATCTTATCCCTCCACCTCAACGCCAATGTCGGCGAAGAACTGTTTTTGCTGCCGAAATGGGCCGCCAAAAAGCAGTTGCTAAATATCTTTTGGTCAATATTCCTGACTCAGTTGATGCTCAACCAGCTCCAACTCAACCTCTGAAGCCAAAACAAAAACAGATAAAGAAGGCTCAGCCAAAGGCAACAGTGACTCAGGTTGATACTGAGGACACTCTACCAATTTTG